GGATGCTAGGAATGATGTCCGATCATGCGTCCCTTCCTCGCAGATCATCCTATTGACAGTCATCCGATATTCATAATAATAGAATTGATAATGACACGCTCCAGAATACCCAGATTCAAGACAAACTTCGGGCCGAGTATAAAACTCGCTTAAAGAAAATCTGGAGCTGAGAGCTAACTGCTCGAAACACGCTCAAAGCCACCAATACTTTTGCTGTGCCAGTACTTTCCTATTCCTTTGGAGTAGTTGATTGGACAAAAAAAGACATCCAGAGTCTTGAGCGCCTGACCAGAAGGATCATGTCTGATAACAGAGCCCACCACCCTCGTCCGCCAAGAGTCGCTCATTTGTGGAGAAGCTTTCTGAGAAACCATTGCATCGTGTGTACATGTTGTGTGTGGAACAGAACAGTAATCCAACCGACACCTCCGCCTGGATGAAGTCGGCTGGTCTTAAATGTGAAACAGAGGGCTTCCTTTTTGCTGCTTTTTGCCGGACCAGTCACTTCCCATTCGCAATCGCCTAAATGTGATTCGTAAAGAAAATATTGACATGAAATGTCGACTTTGCAATGAATTTACAGACACTGTCTAACACCTTGTCAGTGGATGCCCTTCCTTGGCACAAACAGCATATCTTAAACAACATGATGCCATGGCTGGTTGCTTCTACTACCGTCTTCGCCATGCCTGTGGCTTTGACTCCGTGGTCCATCCATGGTACGACCCTGAACATGTCCAGGGTGTCATTTAAAATGCTGCTTTTACACTTCTTTGGAATAGGCCCCTATACAGCCTCAGAAGAATTCCAGCCAGCAAATCTGATCTTGTCCTTCTAGACAAAGCCAATGAATTCATTTATATCATTGAATTTTTCTGTCCCTTTTGACAGCACGTGATTGGCAAGATTCAGGAAAAGCATGCTAAATATGCGGACCTCGCCTTTGAAATGTCTTGCTTGGAACCCAAGTATACTGTCGTCAGGCTCCCCATTGTTCTCGGTGCCCTTGGTTTGGTTTTGGAAGGTGTCCGGGTTCTCCACCGGGAGCACAACCCTTCTGACACTCTGGGGAATACAGAAGGCTGCAGTGTTGGGGAGTCTACATATTTTCCGGAAAGTTCTTGGTGGGTTCGACTAGGCAGCGTTTCCGGGGAGAAGTCCCATTCGCTATCTTGGCTGCGTGTAGAGGAGACAAGGGCCCTGAACTGATGATGAGCTTTACCAGCCTGACTGTGCCAGGATCACCCGAACCCTCTCTGCTGCATATTTCATCTTAATTTGTAAAACATAATAATAGTTCATTTATCATGCGCATTTCTTAACGCATAATGCATGATCGAAGCGCCAAAACAATCTGATTATTATTACCCCGGATAACCCAAGCTGCCTGTGAGTCGCTAAGAGGTTAATCGTCACATGACCTATCCCACCGCGTACCAATTGTTCTGCTGGGTGAACAGGGGCAACTTTGAACAAACTCACTTGTCTCAACATGTGGGGGCAGGACTAAAGTCCTAGAAACTCTCAGAAGTCAAGTTGCCAAACATGGTCACCCATCCAAGGACCCAACGTTGCTTAACTTCAACTGATTTGTGACCTTGCTCTATGCACAGGAGCACACACCACACACACACGTATTCATGGATGACAACGCTAGACGTTCTCGAGCTGTCATTTTCCATTTGCAGAACGTCATCAATAGAACTGGACGTCCTCCTGCTTGACTGGCAGTATGAATAACCTGGCAGACACCAGTGACTCATGTGGTCGGCAGTAGTGGTTCAGACAATCACAGCAAAATTCATTATTTGAAAACTGTTTGATCATCACTTTGGAGGTGTAGTACTTTCTGGCATTGTTTATGTTCACGGTTTTGTGTATTCCTCTCAGATTGTAAATGTTAACCAAATTTCAGTCTTGTTTTATTCAGAGTAAAATAGCATGTTAGTGCTTGATTAATGCTCATGTGTATATGACAAGATGATTTACATTTAACTTCATTTGTAGGGCCAATTCTATCATCTTGGTCAGAATATATACAAAAGTAATTTAAACCTAACATCGAGATTTTATGAGTGATCATCGCACATATTATGTCTTAAGATTACTATTATTTAAAATGTTTAATTTATTTGCATAAAACTGGGAAATAATTGTTTGAACTTTGTTTTCCAGAGACGAAAGCTTCAGGAGTTAAAGCTGTACCTGATCACCCCCAGTATTGGTTACATGCTTTCTGTCGGGTTAAAGGAACGGACTGACCACACAATTCAACACGTCTTCTTCGCACGATTACTAACTTTGAGAAGTGTTGGTGAAGATTGATTTGCACAAGCAATATATCTTGTATACTGCACACAGTGCCATTATCGTGGTACAAATTATCATCAGCATATATACGCTTAGTTTGCAATAGCTATTTACGGAATATTCTATATTCAATCTATTTCAAGCTGTGTACGCAATTAGTATTTGTTAAATACAGTTGGCAAATATGCTCACATACAGGCATTCAAGAAGACTCAGATCGCTGTTGAAAGGAATCTTTTATATCATTGTGATTTGCTTTCTCGTCGTAGCAATGATACAAGCAGGTTATGAGGTTTTCTTTGTCACCAAACGTTTATCACTGACCATACATGGGCATGAGCGAGAATGTTCAAAGAGCATGGGACATTTACCATCTGGTGGCATGAAGTTACAAGACATGATTTTAGATCCATCCAGAGCCTTTGGAGCCAGGAGAGGAGGAGAGAACATCGCTGACGTTAAGCATCAAAATAAAAGTATGGAATATTTCAATTTTGAATTTGGCTTCCTGAGAACCCTATGCAGTGGAAGGCCTGGTTTGAAGAGGCACATGAAAACGTTCCGTCATCAGGCATCTGTATATGATGTGACCAACGCAATCACTGTGTCAAATAGAACAGAGCTGAAATATATGAAGTGTTTAGAGGGACTGACTGTTGGAATTGTTCGTGACGACTATGCAAATATGTACTGGGCCGTCATAGAGATGTACAGCGCATATCTGAATGCCAGGGAAATGAACAGAACTTCTGCCGAGACCACCATTCTCATCCTTGACGCCCATCCAGCTACTGGTCTTGACGGATTGTGGGAACTACTCTTCAAGAAGGTTGTCAGAGTTGGGTGGTTGAAAACAACAACACTCCTGGAACAGTTTGCCCTGGTTCCCGAGTTAAAATATGTGCCAATTGTGCGTGGCAAAAAGCCTGTTCCCTACATCGACGACTTCCGGTATGAGGTTTCCCATCGCGTAGGAGGATTTCAGGGCAGGGGAATAGATTGTGACAGGATTAAGATAACCGTTGTGCTGAGAAAGAAATACATAGCTCATCCAAGAAACGTCAAGGGCACAATAAAAAGGCAGTTCAATAATTCTGATGATCTCATTCAGGCGCTGAAAAACACATTTCCTGGAACTCCTGTACAAGCCATAGCGCTGGAGACTTTAACCATCAGAGAACAAATACAATTAATGACGGAAACGGATATTCTTATCGGCGTGCACGGTGCAGGGTTGGCACTGTCGTTGTTCCAGGTTCCAGGAACAGGGTTGATTGAACTCTTCCCTTACGAGTATAAAAGTCACAGAAACAAGCACATGGAACAGTTGGCTGTTTGGGGTGGTAAACTCTACAGCAGTTGGTACAGCAACAACAGGTTTGCCACCACTGTGCACGTTCCTCCACGAGTCCTGACAGATATGGTGGTTGATATGGGCAAACGAGTGTGTGGACACTCTATCTAAGATAATATTTAGCATAGTAAACTGACTGACTGACTGAGTTTGGTTTTACGCCGCTTTTAGCAATATTCCAGCAATATCACGGCGGGGGACACCAGAAATGGGCTTCTTTAGCATAGTAAAGGCTGTGAAACTGTCTTATGTCATACAATGTAATATTGTGGTGTTATATGTTTTCTGGTATTACCTGGCACTCGTGAAGAGCATACTCCTCGTGGTGAGTGCTGGATAACGCTAATAACTCTTCCCCCGGGGCAGAATAGGTCCTCAGCACCCCATTTCTGGTCGTAAAAGGCGACCGAATTGGAAAATCTGTTTGCCATGGGTTGCGCCCCTATGTTGCTGGAGCGTTGGAAGTGATTGAGGGCAAAGGAGCCAGGAACCGTGTTCTTTTGTCCAACAAAACACTTCGACCCTGACCTCACCTCGACGGGTGGTAGAATGGACCCGGTTCTATCAATCGGCTGCTCACGCAAAGCCCTGGGCCCGGTTGTTCAAAACTCGGTTATCTTTTAACCAGCCGTTAAGTACATTTAACAGCCTGTTATAACATCGGGTTATCTTGTTGTTCAAAACTCTGTTACCTATTTACAGGATGTTAACGTGACGTTAAGTTAACACACCTAAGGGGGGATGGCCTAAAAGTCGGGCCGGGCCGGGCCACCGGGTAATACTAAAAATGGATTGCAGAATATTAAAACGAAATCTGCACATTTGGGTAGATACACTTCCTGCCTTCACAAATGCATAGTTTGATTGAAAATGTATAGTTAACGATGACAAAACACACAACCACAATGACTACGTACCGAGATTCCCATACAAAAGACACCGTCTTGTTGTTATGTGTTTTCCTTGGTATATCTGTGTGGGAAGGTTTCTTACTTCTCTTAGCGTGTGACATCCTGGGGTCCTGGGCAGGAAGTGACAGTGTTTTGACTGCTTTTCTTTCCTTAATTAAGATATTGGGGTTCCCTAATTAACCTTTATTGTCTCATGCTGAATCAGCACAGGTTGTTTATGCTTAAGAGAAGTGGATATTGGCGAGTGTCAATGGGCAAATATGACATGATTATGTATATTAAAAGAAATCTTTCAAATCACAACATTTTGTAATATGTTAAATGGCGTTCATGGCTAACGCTGCTTTCATGATGCCAGTTCAGCAAAGAAAGGATAGGGTGTATCGTGGACTGGCTTTCCAAATTGGAAATTATTCGAACGAAGAGTTACAAACACGCTACCGATTTGGGAGAGTATCTATAGCTTACCTTTGTAATATTTTGCAAGGTGATTTGCAGCGTCCGACAAACAGGGGCCACGCACTGACTGTGGAACAACAAGTGTTAGTGGCCCTTCGCTTCTATGCAAGTGGGAGTTTTTTACAAGTTGTTGGGGACACCCTGGGTATAGACAAGAGTACTGTGTCTAGGATCGTGCGTGATGTGATCGATTCCCTGGTGGCAAGACGTAACATTTACATTTCATGGCCGACTAACAATCGACACATTCGCCAAATTGAAGATGGCTTCTTCGTGACTGGAGGTTTTCCCAAAGTAATTGGATGCGTAGATGGGACACATATTCGTATACAAGCACCTTCCCGAGATGAACCTGCATATGTAAACAGGAAAGGATATCACAGCATAAACGCGCAGGCTGTGTGCGATCACGAAGGTAAACACTTCCTTACAATTTGAACAATTAGAGTGGCTTCCCTTGGTGTTTCAAAAATCGAACATTGTATGTGAAATCAAACAAATCCTACTTTAAAATTTATTGTAGAACTTTTATCAATTTGTCCAAACTGGCTAGTAGATTTTATCATTTAATATGGGAGAGTGGTCTGTTAAACAATGTAACTGATTTGACTCAAAGAATTCATTAATAGATGTTGGCAAAACGCAATATTAAAATGTATCTAAATACTTTCGACTGTTTTTTTTATCAAATGTATTAAATGTATCTAAATACTTTCGACTGTTTTTTTCTGTTCACAATGTAGCTGAAAGTTTTAAATTTGCATTCATATATATAAATGGCAATAATGAAACAATTTGCCCAATTGTTTGCAAATTGCATTAGTATATAGGTCTACAATTACTATGTAAGAAAGAACTTTTGGGAAAAATCAAATATGAGGATGATATATTATCAACCTATATTTCATACCAAAATATTAGTGAAAGAATTCAGTCATAATTTGTGTTAAGACACACATATAGTATCTGACACGCCCATAAAATAGGTAATAATTTTGATTGATGTCGCCTTCTCTGTGTATTAATCCTTGAACTTTATTAATTATTTTTATGTAATCTTACAGGAAAATTCACAAACATTTGTGCCAAATGGCCCGGGGCTGCTCACGACAGTCACATCTTCAGAACCTCGTCACTCTGCGCACTCATGGAGAGGACCCACGCGTCTATCTCTGATGGCTTCATTTTGGGAGACAATGGCTACCCCTGCAGACCATTCCTGCTGACCCCCTACCTCAACCCACAAGGACGACAACAACATCGTTACAACGACTCTCTGTGTGCTACAAGGGTCACTATTGAGAGAACGTTTGGTCGGTGGAAGAGACGGTTTCATGTTTTCCACTCTGAGGTACAGGATATGTTATTAATATATATGTACTTAATGGTGACTATTTTATGACTTATTGCTACCTTGAAGAAAATTTTAGATGTAAAGCTATAATTTTGAACAATGATAATTGTGTTATGTGATATTTTGAAATTTACAAATATAAATTCAACTTTAAACAAATTCTGTGTTCAAAGATCCAATGAATAATGCCAGTAAATTATTTTTTGTAAGGTGAGGATGACCCCCAGTCGTGTGTGCCGTATTGCCGTTGCCTGTGCTGTTTTGCACAACATTGCCATCTCCATGGGTGAACCTCAGAATGAGAGGGACAACAGGGAGGTATTAATGGAACCCCCCCATTGATGCCTACGCAGGACAGGGACAACAGGGAGGTATTAATGGAACCCCCCATTGATGCCTACGCAGGACGACATGACGGCAAAGGCATACGTGATCATGTGGCTTCCACATTCTTTGGACACTAACATATAATAGTACAAATGTGGTGTACATCGACATGAGAACTGTTATACATGTAAAAATTTGAAACGTAATGAACATGACCTAATTTCATAAGATACCGCATTCTTATTGATAGTTTTACTTGATTTTTCACTCAAATTCAACTTACAAAGCACAAGAAGATCAATGTGAAATAAAATAAAGCTTTATTTCTTTACTCAACAACGAAAATTTTTCTTATTTCCAATATCTTATTGCATTAGTGACATTAGTATCTGGGATGGTGTCATCTCTTCGGAAACTTGTTTGCCCTCTAGCATTTCCAGCACCTTTATTTGGAGAAGCAGTTTCTGCGTCTGTAGCGCCTGTAGCTTCAGTTCTCCAGACAGAACTTGCTGCTGCCGCTCGTACACCTTCTCACATGAACTTGGCTCCTTCCTTGTCCAGTGTGTGGAGACAGTTGTGGTCTCAGAAGTGGAGGCTGTAGATGGAGTCTTGCTGGTGGAGGCTACATCTGGGGTCTGGCTGGTGGAGGCTACAGCTGGAGTCTGGCTGGAGGAGGCTACAGCTGAGGTCTGGCTGGTGGAGGCTACAGCTGGAGTCTGGTTAGGCGTCATCACGATGGCAGACTCGGACGTGGCCGTCTCAGCAGCTGTGTCAGTAGGGAGGGTCGCTTTACACTCTTCATCATCTGAAGATGTTTATAAAATACGATACATTTTATCTAAACATAAAGTGATCTTGATTTAAGTGTATATCATTTCTTGATAATGTTAAATGTTGAACCGACATTAATATATAATATACCTTGATATCTATGTTCAACATATAACTTGGTATGATATACAGATTCCTATATGTAAATACGAAGTAATTCTCTTGAAATATTCTTTGTTTCATTTAAATTTTATTTTTGAACGGGTACATAAGACATACCTGAAAAGCGCTAAATCTTGTGTACAAGGGACAGCACTCCGTATGGCATATGTGAAAGAGTAAATCTGTATAAGAGTTATACCCCTTGTAATGTACTCTCCATGGGGTCGTTACTCAACGCCATATGCACATGGTACAGTAAAACTGTGTAAATGGATACTTTACAGATTTTTTGGGGACAGAACCGTCCCATGATCAAGGTCAGTAATATTTATTTCAACACGTGTATGTTTTTTGGTGAGCTGTCTACAGAATACTATGACAGAGCAGTATTGAAGATCTAAACGGGACGATTTATCGGCAATGTTGACGAATTATTTGAATTCTTCGAGCTCCCCTTCCCATGGATGGATTTTAATTATATTCTTACTAATCATTACAGCAATAGACCTTAATTTCCTTATCATTCTTCAATTGTTATTGAGGCAAATTAAACACAAAAGCATCTTTTCAAATGTCTATATACTGTTTATAAATTGACGAAAACCTTATTAGCATAAACGTTGCTCTGGCAACTGATGTGTAGGAAAATAAACCAAACATCAATGAGCATGTATATATCTATTTCTGTTGTGAGTGATATGCAGGCCTAGGTCGTATATCACGTAACATTGATGAAAATGTTATGTTTCAAAATCGAAACCTAGATCTAGATTATGCCATAGACATATGGTGTCAAGTTCAAGGTCGACAATAAAAATAGATCTAGATTATAAACATTGCCACGTGGTTTGTTGTCCCATTTCTACCTCAGATACTGTGAGTTTGAAAATGATTTTTATTTCCCATTTTTTTATATAGGCCTACATTTCACTTTTCGTAATTGCCAATGGCCTTTGTTAAATAGATAGATTATGAACATCGGTACGTATATAGGTGCAATTATGATGTACCAGCGCCACTTTATTTTACTTATTTACTCATTTACTAAAGCTATTTAACAGGGCATATAACTTTATTGTTGTCGAAGTAAACTAATTCATCATTTATTGTTTGGTGATTTATTGAAACCTACACTCTGTCTCGAGGCCGTCTGGGACGCCGTCAAAACTTGCCGAGTCACGCATCATGTCGATGATGCGGCTGGTTGCCTGACTCAGCTCAGGCGGTTGTGGTCCTCCGGCGGATTTCCTTGACTGAATTCTGTGTTCAGTGTACTGTTTCTTTGCCTTCCGATTCATGTTTGCCCATTTCTCTCTCACCTCAATCAAAGACCTCGGAGCTACCCCCTTAGCATTCACCTCTTTTACAATATCTGACCATAAGGTGTTTTTTACGTTTCTTTGTAACTTCGGTGGAATGTTTATCCGATAGCAAAGACCAGTTGGCCTCGACCATTGATTTGATTACATTCTCCTCGTCAGCAGAGAAATTTCCTTAGGGTGCAGGCGACATATTGCGTTTCCATTTTAGACAAACCGGAAGTAAACCGAACACGGAATTGTGGGATATATTGACGCTAACCAGTGACGTTAACCACACGGTTAACTTTGACGGTGGCGTTAGCTAACGGCATGGCTAACCATGTCTTGAACAACGCATATTTAACGTTGGGTTAGCTAACGGCCTGTTTAGGATTTAATCGGCCGTTAGGAGTTAACCGGCGGTTAAGATAACCGAGTTTTGAACAACCGGGCCCTGGTCGTTTAGATTTTCAGTTCACAAATTATCGATTTATTAGAATCAATAGAATGCCTTGAGTCCTATACCTAAGTTAATTTGTGGAAAATGGAAAACGATCTGTCATTTGGTACCTCTTGGATAATGGTATGACCTCAGATAATATCATATAAAATATGTTCAGTATAGGTTTGGATCAGTTCCCGTCATAATCAACATCCAAAGATTTGGATTGATTGATTTATAATTAGACGGGGGCTTTTTTTTAGGACAACCCTAGTTTAATCTTTCAAAAACATTGCGTCCAGATATTTAAGCTGGCACTGTTTACAATATACTGTGAGTTGACACTTGTGTGACCATTCAGTATTTAGTTTGAACCCATGGCATCATGTATGAAGAAGTAATGTCCTTATGATTACGTCATCTGAGAGGGGGGTGGGTAGTGTCTCCGAAACAAGTTTTTTCAGTAGACACGAGGTGGGGGTGGGGGTGTCACTTTAACAAGCGATTGTAGTTTCAAATTGCCTTTATATGCACTTTAATATATGTTTGTTTCGTGCGGACTTCTGCCTATCCCAAACACTCAATATATTTCTTGCATATTTTGCTTCCTGAAGTTTGTGATGTATTTATTGCAGATTTTGCGTTTTTTAGGGGTAATAAATTAATAATGGAGGTTGACAGATAATACGCAGAAAAATAAAACATAAAAACAGCTGCTTTTGTATCATTTTCTTGGTGGGGTTGAGTACGTTTTGAACGCCCCTCGTACCCTCTAAGGAGGACAATAATTTTTCAGTACTTTAACCCCTTTTGAGGATACAGCCACTAAGAATCTCAGTTGTTAATTTAAACTAATAATTACGAAACATTTATATATGAACACAACTTTCATCAAACTTCACCTAACAACTCTATTTCTTTTAAAAATATTAAATTATTAAATGTGACTTAACATTAAAAAATCCTTCAATGTTCCTTCAAGGTTTAGACATTGAAATACTAATCCTTTGTGATGGAATATTCACTACAGTCAAGCAGGACATGCATGACCTTGATTCTTTCATCACAAGGGATACAAAATGGAGGATCCCAACCTTTCAGTAAGTATTCGTGTGTATATCTAGAATGGTCAATGAGACATCTTCGCATCATGACCTCTTCAAATCTGGACTGACAACCCAAGTTGGTGTAACTGATTGTTGGTGTAATTGCATGTAATTCATTGATACCTATTTGAGTGTCCCACTTCTTTTACATTAGATCACGGATGTAACCTCTAACAACAAGTCTATAGTCACTGTGAGGTATCAGTAGTGGTGTCACATGGTGGTGGATAGAATCTAACCGTGACCAAGGATACTTCATTCCATCAGCTTATGATCCACTCCTCCACCAAGCCCAATCTATTGCATAAACATCGCACCTATTGTATAAACATCTCCTTCATTGTAACCACTCCTGTATTTATACATCTCTGGCTTCCATTCACTATCCTTTGTGTACTCACTGGCTTCATCAGCTTACTGCTTAACCAATTATGGCAATTATGTTGTTTCCTTTGTCAATTACAATGTATGTTGTTTCATTGTATACAGTATAAATATGCAGCTCCTCCACTTCATGTATCACTCTTGCTTGACAACGGTACAAGAATCTGTATCGAAACGTCGCACTCACGAAATAAAGAAGTTGTTATCCATAAAAACTTGTTCCATATTGTACGTCTCAACTTCTAAAATGCCACTCAAACAAGTTAGAATCTAATAGTTTAAGGTTGCTGTAACATGCTCCATCACATCTGAATGAGCCGTAATCTAGTTTCGAACGGATGTGTGATCTGTATAAGTGTATCAATCAACCGAGTGCCTTCAGGCATTTACCTTTAAGGTATTTAATATGCGGTAAAAAAAAGATACATGAGAATAAAAAATAAGGCCAGGAACTTGGCCTCCTTTACAACTTTGATTAGGGTGCCATTTAAAAATAGTTCCGGGTCTTTATGCGGTTTACATTTACAGCAGGAATGTGTAAATTAGTTTTTGATTTAGAAAATTTAAACACCGTGTGCAATGGACCATTTATGAATTTTGTTGAGACAGAGTTGTATCTGCCTCGCTAATGTATGCATATTTTTACCACAAGAAACATTAAAATCAGCCACGAAAAGTGATCCGTCAACTGAATCAGTTAAAACCTTTGAAAGATTATACATTTTAAGGTTTTGAACGGCATGATCCTGACTGTAATGATCAAACAGGGTTGACTTTATCGGACTCGAAATTGTCTGTGATAAAAATTGTGATATAAAAACTAAAATTATGTAAAACCTTTGAAATGCCGCGCTTTTATTCATAGGTCCAATGAACATATAATTTACAATACATTATAAACGTATACATAAGCATACATATATATTCATATATTTAAACAGATTTAAGTGACATTCTATACTTTAAAGCGAAAAATAGAAACTTTGACAATTGAAGAAGTGTAGTTTTACATTGTGCAGACGAATTTTACAAATGTATATATTAATAAGTATCTAAATACTTCATCCTTAAATGTAGATATGTCTTACAAACCATAGGCTTTCTCAGTATTCATTTTCAATTTGCATTAATCCAGATTTGGCACATTAGAAACATATTTGTTGTTTTTCGCCTTCATTGTGATGTCTTCCTATTTGTATCCTAAGCTGGGCGGTCGGGTAGCCAAGTGGTTAAAGCGATCGCTCGTCACGCCGAGGACCCGGGTTCGATTCCCTCACATTATGTGAAGCCCATTTTTAAACCAAACTCACTCACTCAATCTATCTATCCTGACAGCTACAGCGAAATCGGGTGAGTCTGTAAAATGGGTTTAACATGTATGCAGCTGAACTATGGTTCCATCGTTAAAGTTGTTTTGAAAAAAGTTCTTAATTTCGGTTTCTGAAGCATTTCATCATGCCACTGCTGAGATCCACAATCTTTAGTACGCTGTTTAAAATCTGTCTCCCACATCCTGAATTACCCAACACTCAGCAATATTCCAGCTATATGGCGGCGGTCTGTAAATAATCTAGTCTGGACCAGACAATCCAGTGATCAACAGCATGAGCATCGATCTACAAAATTGGGATACGATGACATAGCGAGCTTGACCACCCGATCCCGACTAGCATGGGTACTGAAGTTCAATTCTTACCCGTATCTTCACTGGTCGCATATTGATATAAGTATTTCCTCAAAAACAAGTTAATTTGGCCAAGAAGTTTAACTTACGCATCAGGTATATCGATGATCTTATATCGTTCAATAGCCATCAAATAGCAAATCCCTTCCACTGATTTACCCAACTGAACTTGATACTAAGGAGACAAGTGAGAACGCCTCAACTGTTTCGTACTTGATCTATGCATAACGTGTCCGAGTCACAAAAACTCTCCACAAGACTGTGTGACAAAAGGGATCGCTTCAACTTCCCAATAGTCAACTTAACATGTCGAGCAATATACCAACAGCTCCCTCCAGCCCTGAAGTGTTTACACTTAACAACGTTTGAGGTACAACCGAGCATGCTCTTTTTGCCAAGATTTCAAAGACCGGCTTACCACTTTTGCTCATGAGTTGTTTGATCAAGGTTACAACATTCAAAGCCTCAGTAAAATTTTTAGAAAAGTTTTATGTTAGACATGAGGAGGAAATTTCCAAATTTGATACATCAGTGACAAATATGATATCCGATGCAAAATAATTTCCTATTTTAACTTCTACCATACGTTCCCCAATTAATTCAGATGAACAATTGACTAGACTTTGCATATGTTTATGACGGGTTTCAGGATACGCTCACCTTTTTGCCCACACCTGGTATCATCACAATTTGATAGTGATTCATAAACACATGCCCTGTCAATGTATCGCATGGTGACAACCACTGTATTATCTGGTCCAGACTCGGTTGTTTAAAAACAACATTGTACAGCTGTAATACTGCTGAAACTAACACACGATCATTATACAGTCAGAATTGTACAATTTCTTAAAAGGTTTTGTCGCTTCGAATTATATTGTCATTGCAAGTAATTATAACTGACCGCATAGCACATTCAGTAATATTTGCATTCCTTCTACCAATCCACCTTTATCAAAACAAATATCGTGCAATGACATTCTGCTGAATATCCCTCTATCATTTTTGTTCAGGTGAATACTTGACATACCTTTGCATGTGTTTATGACGGGTTCATCCAATCAAGGGGGATACGGTCACCTTTCTGAACATCCTGGTATCAATACTATTTCATCGCGAGACATAGACACATACTTATGATATAGTCGTAATGGTAAAAAATGGACCTGCTTTAATCACCTTATGGTTATGGAAGTGTCACAGCCCTGTATGAATTTACTATATTTCGTCAGTCTTGCACAAATATTTTTTAAATGACTACGTCCATACCATGGGCCTGTTTAATATGTGAGTAAGTGAGTGAGTTTAAGTTTACGCCACACTCAGCAATAGCCCAGCTATATTGCGGCGGTCTGTAAATAATCGAGTCTGGACATGAAGATCCAGGGATCAACAGCATGAACATCGATCTAAGCAATTGGGATACGATGACATGTGTCAAGTACAGTTTCTAGCAGTTTGTTAACTTGAGACCCGTTCGGGATTCGAAGACCACACTCTCTGGCATTCGGTATTCATAGCTTTCGGGATCCGTGCCAGTTGACTCAAAGTTGGTTGGTTGGTTTGTTGTTTAACGCCGCACTCAGCAATATTCCAGCTATATGGCGGCGGTCTGTAAATAATCTAGTCCAGACCAGACAATCCAGTGAATAACAGCATGAGCATCGACCTACGCAATTGGGATACGATGACTGACTGACTGACTGAGTTTGGTTTTACGCCGCTTTTAGCAATATTACAGCAATATCACGGCGGGGGACACCAGAAATGGGCTTCACTCATTGTACCCATGTGGGGATTGGAACCCGGGTCTGCGGCGTGACGAGCCAACGCTTTAACCACTAGACTACCCCACCGCCCCGGGATACGATGTATCAACCCAGTCAGCGAGCTTGACCACCCGATCCCGTTAGTCGCCTCTTTCGACAAGCATGGGTTACTGAAGATCAATTCTAACCCGGACCTTCACGGGTCTGTTTAATATGTAATTCGAACTTTCCCTTCATATTTGGGCCTAGAAACGGTCCCGTATCACTCGCACTTTTAATATGACCTTCCAGTTGTCTCTGTTCTGTATCTGAGCAAAGGTTTACACCATTAATCTGTACATAGCCACAGCCCTGCACTGGTAGTCTGTAGATGATCACCACCATGCACAAATAATATGTAAATGTCCAATGTCATTCATGTCTTGGTGCAGACCTACAAACCAAATGTTGTTTCACATACGCATACACTTAAACAAAGTTCTATTCTGAGATAAAGACAGTTCTTGACCTCATTTCAAAGATTACTTGCAAGTCTCAGGTATACTTTACCAGGGTAGGCTAGATTATGTGAGGGATGTAGGTACTCTAAATAGTTAAGGATATTCTTAAATCTAAAGTTAGATTTGTGTCCAAGCTATGCTTTCTTTACTGTTGTTGTGTGCATGTGGACTGCCATGGCTCACGGAGACGCTCAAGTTGATCAACAACGGCTATGAAGATTTTGTGGTAGCCATCAACGAAGATGTGCCAGAGGATACGGGACTTTTTATCCAGATACAGGTAGAGTGTTAGTGACTGTAGGCTAACAGCTGTTATTTAATTATGTCCTATTTCTCACCCCTTTGATGTGTTACAGCTGGTTAATATATAACGTCCATTTGCCGTGCTAAGATCTAGTATCGAGGGCTCAAATATTAAAATGATACCGAAATTCTGTCGACGTGTTTCGTCAATTGTAAAACAACCCACATGGAATTAAATGTCCTCAGTTAATGATAAAATGGCTGGACTCCACGCCTCGCTGACATGCTCTAGGCGCATACAACATAATGGACATTATCACCCCGGTTGTCGTTTAACTGACAAACAATGACGTCACTTCATTGCAGTCGAAAGGAAGTCCATAGATAAGATATTATTACCGTTTAGATATACTAGACTTATGACTGGTTAATAGCAATTGTATATGAAAGCGTGCTCTAAAGTTTCACGGATTGTATGAAGCCACACTAACTACCCTGTTCCAACCAGTATCATGGACGACCCTGACATTTTGAGACATTTGACATTGGACTCCAACTCACTTGAAGAATTTAACTATTATTATCACAAAAGTTCATGCCATTAGCAATGTTGAGAATAGGCTATTTTATGTCTATGAATCGGAAATAGATTGGACCTAATACCTAGGGTGGTATTTGAAATAACAAGACCTTAAAACATAGTATCATAGCCTACAAAAGATATGTCCCTTCGAATATCGACAATGTTCGCCTATGAAACAATCCTGGCAAAACGCTGTGCCTCACATACCGTTGCAGAAAAAGAAGGGAAACGGTTCCAGAAAACACTTGAAGTTGCCACCTACAAAATATAAAGGGTAACAAATTAATTGCAAGGTCATTTACCGTAGGGCATTAGGCGTCAGATGATGCGGATTCATACGGGAAGTCGCCACCCTATGCTATCTTGCATATAGCTGTGTAACAAATAATATACCATTTAAAAAGTTCAAGCTCTAGAATGTATTTCAGTGCGTACATTTGCAGAACATCATGACGGATGCATCTGCATATTTGTATCTGGCCTCCCGCCAGAGGGCGTATATTCGGTCTGTCAAAATTCTTGTGCCGAACACGTGGAGTAAAAATAACGCCAAATACACCGACCCAAAGGACGAAAGTTTTGACAACGCCCACATCAGGATCGACAAGGCTAACCCAACCCAGGGCAACAACCCTTACACGTTCCAGCCAGGCCAGTGTGGGGACCCCGGCCAATACATTCACCTGACCCCCGAGTATGTCATGGACGCCCCGGGTATATACAGAGAACTAAACTGGGGGAACCCTGGTAAGTCTACATTTGGGATCCGCAAAGCTGTGAAGTATATGAGTAGTATATAACAACACATTTAGAAATACCAGAGTAACATTAGCCTTGACACAGTACATTTCTCGTCACTGTATGGCTGAAATATCGCCGAGTTGACGTTAAATTTTAACTCACTCACTCATAACACATTAGGAAACACCACTAGTGGGCCCACATATTCTCAGTCCCTGGTATGGTGATCTTCTTTCAGTTGCTGATGATTTCCAGCCCGTTTTTATGATGTGTTGTCCATAATAGAGGTTTCATTTTTAAGGTCCATGCTGGTTTTAATTCTCTATCTGTGATTATCTAATTTACCATCTTTTGTCGCCAGATTTTATAATCAGTGGCGTAGCTGCCATATAGGAAAAAAGGCAATTGCCTACTCATAATTTTGTAAAAAGAAATATGAAAAAATTGGAAATGATAAATTTGAAAGAAAAATGTTACAGGTGAATTTATTTCAACATGCTGAAAGCATGGATATGTACGTATAATAATTGCATTCTAAACGTTTTGCCTACATATAATAATTGGCTCAGATACGCCCTTGATAATATAACTTTTTCTATTATCAGTACATGCATTGTCTGAGTTTCGATATGGCTGAAATATTGCCGGTGTGACTTTAAGTTTAACTCACATATTTTCACTACATTGGAAATTGAACCAAAAGTTCATATTGAAAGTTGAAAGACGATAATTAACCGGCACACTGACATTCCCGATTTGACAACCATGTAAACCGAAACATGATGACCTACTTTTCAGCCGATACGAATTTTCTCGTGTGAAAGTGAAAAGAGACACTACAAACAACTATGGTTACACTAAATTCCAATTTCTTGTTTCATAAGAAAATGGTATTTACAAATTAATTTTAATTTTAAACTTTAACAAAATCGTATTTCGATATTTTATGTCGAGGTTTAGGCAGCATGTCGTTAACTAAGACGTCACAGACGGCTACTGTTTGAAGAGGTCGTACAATGATTCACAATTCATCTGGCTCACTAGTTACACATGTTATGTGTTTTTTGCGCTTATATAGTGTATTTTTGTAACGTACAATGTGACTGATATAATATCAAATCCGTACCAGACCGCCAAACATTTCTAACGGCCGAGCCTCGTTTTGAGATTTCCACGATTTCCAGATTTTCGTTTGTCAGAGCACGCTGTACGACAGAGCACGCTGCACGACGTGTTTGCAAGGATTAGAAGGAGCGTAGTGTTGAAATGTACAAGTGATTACATGTATCAAATCATACTGGTTAATATTCATATATCCAGTTGAATGAGTTGGTCTCAATATTCTGGACTGGTTATTGCACTAAGTTGCGCAATAGGACGGAACCCAGGCAGCAGGAAATGAGACCATTGTGTAATCAATGTTTTGACTTGTACCACGCTGTGCTTGGACATATACTGGGATACCGTATTATGTATATCAGAGTTATAGTCATGGGTAATATTGTGTACATATAGACCAGAGAAAGGGACGAAAGGTTCGAGCAGACGACAACTCAGTTCGATGACGTCATCGTCAAAAGTCAAGTGACGTAGGTACATATGCTAGCATACATACATAAAACGCCATTTTCGAAAAATATTTTGAAATCGTATGCATGTCGTGGGTACATTATTTGAAATAACTGAATATTATCAAAACTGATTAGATTGTGACCCAGATTGTGTTCATGTTTGCAAACACACAACAGATATCCCGGGATATCATTAAAATCATAAGTTTGTTTAGTGCATTTTATGCACCAACAGTAAATATCATAGTCGAATGGGATTGTTAGTGGTATTAATTTTATATAAATTGGTTGACACATGTATCGTACATCGTATCCCAATTGCGTAGATTGATGCTCATGCTGTTGATCCCTGGATTGTCTGGTCCAGACTCGATTATTTACAGACCGCCGCCGTATAGCTGGAATATTGCTGAGTGCGGCGTTAAACAACAAGCCAACCAACCAACTTTGAGTCAACTGGCACGGATCCCGAAAGCTATGAATACCGAATGCCATTTAGAAAGCGGTAACATGACATATCTAACATAAATGTAACTGTAAATGTACAATACAAATCCTAGTACTAGTAGACTCACTCACTCACCCTATTGACGGATTACATACATTCCTAAAACAGCGCGCAAAGACAAGGGACTTCGGGTTTATAACTGTTTGGGTATGGGTTTCTAACGTTCATATGAAGGCAGTTATAAGCCTTGCGCGTTGTTTCGAATTCACATTCTGTATTGACGTGCATTTACCAACCAAAACAAATATCATTGAAACTTAAGTGTGTATCCCCTTCTGTCTAGAGGCACAATCATTTTTTGTGTTCACGTTGTCCTGCATATGACTCTATTTATGCTGCCTGGAGGCGCAGGAATCCTCATTAATATTATACTGCGGTCATATGTTTCCTCAAATAGAAATGACTTCAAGTGGTGTCAGTTGAGTAAAAGCAGGGGCGTAGGAACAGGGAGGGCTTGGAGGGGCTTAGCCCCCCAACTTTATTCAAGACGAAACCATATCTACCTTACCATAACTACAATTTCATTTTGATTTTCAATACTTTTCATAAACTACAATGTAACAATGTAAAGAGTGTCAAGTTTTACATGGGCAAACGCCATGATGAAATAGGAATATAATCATTGGCTAAAGGAATGAGTTAGACAAATTATGACAGGTCCAGCCTCCCATATTGTCGTCGATTGCTGAGGTAATACTCATATAACTGTCAATCTGTTACACACGTGCATTTACCCTCAAAGACAGTCATTTCCCATTTGTCCGATCTGTTATACATCCAGTTTTCTGAAAGTGGAAACACGGGATGATAAAGAAGACTATTCTTCTTTTATTTGTTTTATAGTCCTCCTGAGAGGACCACACAAATATTCAAAGTAAATTCAAACTCTCCACTATTTTTAATCGTAGAATATGTGTCTTTTTTAAATGTATGGTTAGATGTGTCTAAATTGCTAACGGCTGAAGAGATGATGTAAATCCAGCTAGGGCCCATGCAGGAAGCAAATGTACTGTAAGTCCCCATGGTCCAAGGTATGGTGATCTACCTTCAGTCGTTGGCAATCTATAGCCTGTTTTTATATTGTATTGTCATTTATAGTTGAAATATTTTAGATTTAGTTACTAGTTTTAAATGGATATCTGTGATACACTAGTAGTTTTACTGTTCTTCGTCAACAATATAATTATAAATTGTTCTCGTCACGATATGGCTGAAATATTGCCGATGTGACGCTAAATATTAACTCACTCACATTATTTGTTTTATAAAAGTAGTTTGTTCAGAAAGTACTAGGAAAAACATTCGGTTAAAGGTTTACCAAATTGCTGCTGTCTTATTCAAATGGCCGTCTCTCACCTGGCCGTCATATGGCTGTAATATTACAGTGTATAGTGTATTAGAGTGTGGCGTAAAAGTAAACTCACTCTCGCCTGATGAATAATGCCTCTCATTCTCAGGTAGGGTAGTGGTTCACGAGTTCGCACATCTCCGTTACGGCGTGTTTGACGAATACGGCACCGCGGGGAATATCCAACACCCAGAGTTCTACTTGTCTGACAAGGGGAGGATAATGCCAACGAGTTGCACCACGGAGTTCACATGGCACTTCCAGAACATACACACAGATCGACCATGCAAAGTGAATACGACCAACAACATGCCAGAGGATAACTGCACCTTTATCGTCAATGAAACTACAAGTCCAGCCATTGCGTCTATAATGTTCATGCAGTCGTTGAAAAATGTAAGTACATGAACAAAGTTGAGTAAGCATAGTTCAGCAACATTTCAGCAGCATTTCAGCAGCAAGTGAGTGGTTTTACACCGCTTTAGAAATATTCCAGCAACACCAAAAATGGCTTCACACATTGTAGCCATGTACGGATTCAAACCTGGGTCTTTGGCGTGACAAGCGAACGCTATATTCACTATGCTAACCCACCGCCCCCATTTCAGCAGTACCGTTTTGAGATACCAGAACATAACAGGAAATATGATCCAAGGGAAGGCGCCCATTTTTTTTGTCTAGACGCAGGTAACCTCAGTTCTTGCTTGACAGCTTGTAACAGTTCTGGATGAGTGCACGACCGAACGTCTCCGCATTGCCTCTTATTGGTAACTGTGTCGTCCAGGTAAAAACATCACAATCAGATTGTAGCCTTTGGTAAGACATTGTTACAGAGTAATGTACATTTTCTTCAGAAACGTCTTAAATAAATTCAACAAAGGTTTTCATGAGAGTAGTCATGATACTGACGTTAATCCACAGGGCCTCTCGGATACAGGAGAGAGTTATCTTGCCATGTGGTCTGTATGTAGACAGTGGTTTGAACAAGCACTCTCTTACAGAACATAAATTGACTAAGTATTAACACCCCCGTTTAATGATGACTTGATATGATAATATATTTATTGTTGCAGCTGAATCGACCAAATTTGATTTTCAGGTAACCCATTTCTGCGAGAGTATCCCGGCAGATCCTCATCGCCAGCACAACCACGACGCGCCGAACATGCACAACAAGATGTGCCCTGGTCGGGGAACGTGGGATGTCATTAAACAGCACCCTGACTTCCGCACCTCTAACCCCTCTCGACTTGTTAACGACACCACGCCTACATTCACGTATCTGTACAATACACGAGGCTTCTGGTTCGACGGAACGGAGAAGTGCGGGAGGAGAGTCGTGTTGTTGCTTGACCTGTCTGGGTCAATGAAGAAGGTTAGTTGGTTACATGCTCGATGGTCATAAGCTTGAGCGATTTCTTGATACTACAACCTAAAGTGGCCGTGTTTAAGAATAAAACAGACATCTCCCTTTTACGTTATGTATGTCAAGTATTGATGTCAGATTTAAGATTCATTCAATTATTTCAGAGGCCTAAGGGTGATGCGTGGGCCGCTTATGTGTGCGCTTGCGCTTGTAAGTACGTATATGTGTCGGAGATTACAAAATTCATCAAACGCTTGAAAGGTAAACGGCGAGGTCTTTCTCCATGCGCTGGTTACGTCACTATTTCGAGATCTGTTCTTCGCCCGCAAGGTTCCGACACCATCATCCCCTACCCCTTGATCTTATTCTGAATACTTCCGGTGCGCAATAATCATACGGATCTGCTGATGATTTCTCCATTATAGAAGGAAACGCGATCCGTCACCATACTCAGACCCACGCCTACATGTCTGCAAAGGGATTTTTTTTAAATGTTGAAATCAGAAATATAAAACGGAACATTGTGCAGTCAGTATTGGCAACGATTGTGTGAGTGAGGTTAGTTTTACACCGCTTTTAGCAATATGCCAGCAATATCACGACAGGGGACACCAGAATTAGGCTCCACACATTGCACCCATGTGGGGCATCGAACCGGCGTCTTCGGTGTGAGTCTTCCCTTGTTCCGCCTCTTGGGATAAGAATTAAACCATTCATTTCTGCTGCCGGCACTTAGCTGGAAAATATATCTCCTTCGCGTCTTCTTTCTTCTCCTCCTTGGGAACTGGAGAGGCCTGAAGTTGACCTAACTCTGGCAAAGTTTAAGAAATCAGAAACTAATTAATTACAATATAAACAAGAATATAATCAATTAAAACTAAAATATAATACATACAAATCCTTATATACAGATGGGTCCAAGGACGGTGGCGCGGTTGAATGTGCCTCTGTCATTGGATCCAGAACAATATCTTCTAGAATACCGGATAACAGCTCTATTTTACAGCAGAAGCAAACGCCATATTAACGTCTCTTAAATATATATTCAAAGACACACTAAACATAAAAAATGCATAATCTTCTCCGATTCTCTTTCGTGCCTTCAGGCTTTTAAAAATCTTTCTTGTAAACATCCACTTTAATAGAAATTATTGAAATTATCGTCTTTTGTTGGTTACCCAGCCATGATGGCATTTCTGGGAACACAATGGCCGATCTTGCTGCCAAGGCAGCACTCAGCAAATCTGTGACACCACTTCTTATTCCATACTCTGCTTACAAAGCTAGGATTAGCACCTACATCCGTGATCTGATGCAGAAGAGGTGGGACACCCAAGTAGGTATCAATAAATTACATGAAATAAAACCTTATATTGGTTACACCTACTTGGGTTGTCAGTCCAGATTTGAGGAGGTCATTATACGACGATGTCACATTGGCCATACGCGTTATACTCACAAATACTTTATAAAAGGTGAAGATCATCCGTTTTGTATCCCTTGTGATGAGAGAGTCACAGTCAAGCATGTCCTGCTTGACTGTATTGAATTCTCCATCAAACGGGATAAGTATTTCAATGTTAAAACTGTTAAGGATCTTCTTAATACTGTTCATTTTCATTTAATTCTTGTTTTTTAAATATTTAATGAATGAATTTTGATTAATATGTTCTGTAGATAGATGTATTTTAATGATTAAGTAAATTTAAACCTACTACCATTTTAATCGTGGAATATATGTTCGTTTAATTTGTGGCTAGATTATCTAAAACATCATTAATGTTTAAAAAGTGTTTTGGAGGTGTTTCCAAAACACCACAGATATTGTACCCAATTTCAACATTGCTAGCAAAATATTTATGCTTTAATGGGAATAGTCCCAAAACACCAGGTGTATACTTTCTTATGAACGTCAGTATAGTAAGAAAGTTTTAGATTGACAAACTAGTTTTATATTAATATCTGTGGTCTTCTAGTGGTTTTTACTGTCCTTCGTTGGCAGGTTCTCATAATTCATTCATTATCATATATTCTTGTTTTAGTCACAATATGGCTGAAATAAAGCCGATGTGACTTTAAATTTTAACTCACTCACTCACTCCTGATCATGGGCAATATTTGGTAGTGCCTCTATTGCATCTATGGTGCCGAAAGTCGGGAAATTGTTCTTTTGACAACATTGACTCTGATGGGTGGAAACCGAATCCCCAACTGCAAAATGACTGCAGATATGCGGAGCGAAAACTCTGATCTGTCGACGATTGAAATAGCGTCCAAGAACCAAGTCATTAGGTTATATCTAAATTGCGTGATTAGTATGGGAATGTTTTATAATGTTGTAGAAATGCATTCCTTTGCACATATGTGCATATACCGTTTAGGATCATGTGTACAGTTTACTATTTCAAACCTAATTTCAAATGTTAGGAATATACATATCCATTAAATTTCGAGAAAATTGATCAAGAAAATGTACAATTTCAAATGTCTCGCACATATATATGAGATAAGACAGTGATCTTTATTGGATTAGTAAGAGAAATACAAGCTAAATCAACGGGTTGCGTGTTATAGTATTTCCTTTCAGGACCATATGCAAGCATCAATGCTCGATCAAGCCTTGTGAAATATATTGGAAATTTAAGCAACATTCAACACATTTCATCTCAGCAGGCGTTCGGTCTCTGTACAAAGCCTGGAAACAAAGTTAGAGTTGGTTAACTTGGATCAAGGATGCTGGGTACATATTAGCGAGGAACATTACTGGCCATGGGAAAGAATCTAAGTTTATTTGTAGCCTCATCACAATTGAGTATTTTATGAAGCACTATTACGACATAAATGTCTTCCTTGGCGATGGGGTAGCCTAGTGGTTAAAGCGTTCGCTCGTCAAGCTGAAGACCCGGGTTCGAGTTTTAGACATGCGTGAAGCTGATTGCTGGTGTCCCCGCCATGACATTGCTGGAAAACGAGCGTAAAACTAAACTCACTCATTCACTCTTCCTTTGATGCAAATGTTAAGTGTCTACTTTTAAGGACAAGTGAAACACATTCCGGGGAACAGTTTGTTTGTATTATAACTTTCATAAACATATCCAAGCTTCCATAACCTACCATACTCGCAAAACCTATACACGTCGGTAATTATCTTGTTTGTGTGTCCACTAAACTATATTCCATATCATCATCTTAGTTTGCTAAAGTTTATGGAATAAGCATTTGTCTGCCCATCGCAAGATATTTGCTTTTTTCTTGTGTGTTTATGGTTAAACGCTAAATGTTTTGAACTGACAATCAAGTGTTTACACCCCGGTCATCAATCTCCACAATTGGGATAATGCATCAACCAACTCATAGACCCTATCCCGTTAGTCCGTCTTAAGACAACCGTGCATTGCAAAAGACCGCATAAGCTTCTTCTAAACCAAAATTGTATGGGTCCAACATATATGTGAACCTATGAGAAAGGTGAAAAGATAAATGCAATAGTCAAACTCATGATAGAGATCCCCGTTTTTCATTGTAGGTAATTCCCAGTTCTTACATTTGGTAACAGTATCCAGTTATATGCTATTCAATATTCATCGTTGGTATAGATTTTGACAGATGTGTTAGATGCATATTATAAAGGCATTGCTCGGAAAACTGTTTCATTTACTCATGAAGCAACATCCAATGGCCCTGACCAAACTGTCATACTGACCCTGAAACCAAGCAATGAAAAGAAAACCAATATGTAAAGCTACAAGTTTGGCAAATATAGTTAACTAAGTTACGTGGAATAAACACATTGCTCATGTCATATTTAATAGAGGTATTTTGGAGGTATTATTTTCTGTTTATAGACAATGCATACAGGCACTTTAGCTACCATAATTGATAAGCAGGCATATGTGGTTGACCTTTATTACACGAAACGATAAACACATTTTGCCAGTGTCTAACATTCTGAACAACATTACATCTTGAAAGTGTCCATGAAGGAGTAAATATATTATTGTAGTGGGAACGAAAAACTACATCTGAAAAAGGAGCCTCTGTGAGATGGAAATCAATATACTAAATTTATGATTAAAAAGTACAAATTGAACAATCACAGCATGTTATACTTCAGGACGTTGTAGACAGACATATCTATTGATTCATGAATAATACAATGTGTCATCACTTAAATGTTTAATATTAACTATTACAAGTATTCAATATGATCAAAATTCCTGTAACGAGCAAGAAAGAAATATTTACTGATTATTCCGAATTTTCAGACATGTGCTTCAGTTGTGTCTTTTTATGTCTCCGGACAGATGCAAGTTTTGTTATCATAATGTGATGATAATTTACAAAACGAACAAAACATAATCCAAGACGACAAATATACAGGGGATACAATAACTCATGCCAATGAGAGGTTTCAAATCACAGTATCATATAATATATATACACAAGAGGTAATGCCTTAATTTCTACATTAACAATTAAAAAAAAATAACACTTTTTATATCACTGTTCCCTTGTTCAGTTTCAACAACAGTCCAAACCCGACTGAAGACTTTCAACCGATTGCACTGGCTGAAGCTACCGTGATTCTCCCCTGTGGTTGGCATTTTGATGTATATAAAGTATACAAAGTTTACATAATTCATTTAATTCTTTTTCTCCATAAAGCGAGCCCGCGGCGCTTCTGGTTTGATGGACAGGGCGTCATTCATAGCTCGTCTTACATTGCAAAATACCTTCACACTATGTTCCTTGTACCGTCCTCCTTCTACAAAAATGACATAAGTTAGGCGTCCAGCTCCCGAAGTATGTCATTGTGTACGATCTAAATTGACGTAATCCCTTATTGGGGAAGTTCAATAATGAATTAAAACGGAAAAGTGATCGAGGATTTCATATCTGATAATGTCCTGTGCATCTTTAATGATGATTTAGAAATATACCTACATCCTCCTACTGCTTTAGATTCTGTCCTCCATTAAGGTCTGAGACAATCACTTCCAAAATGTCTGTCGTCCATTAAGGTCTGAGACTATCACTTCCAAAATGTCTGTCCTCCATAAAGGTCTGAGACTATCACTTCCAAAATGTCTGTCCTCCATTAAGGTCTGAGACTATCACTTCCAAAATGTCTGTCCTCCATAAAGGTCTGAGACTATCACTTCCAAAATGTCTGTCCTCCATAAAGGTCTGAGACTATCACTTCCAAAATGTCTGTCCTCCATAAAGGTCTGAGACTATCACTTCCAAAATGTCTGTCCTCCATTAAGGTCTGAGACTATCACTTCCAAAATGTCTGTCCTCCATAAAGGTCTGAGACTATCACTTCCAAAATGTCTGTCCTCCATAAAGGTCTGAGACTATCACTTCCAAAAAGCTTTCCGAACTTCTCCTGTTGACAGTCTTTATGTCGAGGCCGATGAACCATCTCTAAAACATCGCCATGTCAAAATATATTTGCAGTAGTTCACAAAACTTTATTCTAATGAGTCCAAGCTTGCTCACAAATGTGTTTTTAATCCTCTTTAGTTGCCCGCTAAGAGTTCAACAGAACTAGCTGCCATATTAACAGCTCTTGAATATATTAATAAACACCCTAGATGTCAACGATATATAAATTTGTCCGACTAATTTTTGTGTCTTCAGACTATAATTTTTTTTATCAGGTCAACATACACTTTTAATCGAAATAATTGAATTTTACAATGATCTTGCTATTGGCGAATACAAGATCGTCCTCTATGGCCATGTTGTAACATGTGGCCGATATGTGACACCACTTCTTATCTCATACTCCGATTACAAAAACGTGATTAGATCTTACATCCGTGATCTAATGCAAAAGAAGTGGGACACGCAAGTTGTTATATTTTTTACATGCAATGAAACCAACTATCGGTTACACTTACTTGGGTTCTCAGTCCAGATTTGAAATGGTCGTTATGCATTATATTACCAGCAAAGGCTAGTTAAAGTGCAGCATTCAGGCCTGCGACGTTACCCGGTAACTGGTAACATATGGCGACGAGATACACTTTTCCACAGATATTTCAACTTTCCTGTGTAACTTGGGTTTTCGTTAACCCAGACTTTATCGTCACACTGCATTGGATAGATATCAGGTTTAAACTTAAAATAGGCTTACAGAGATAATAGTGATATACGTATGTGCTATTGAATAACGATATAAGAATTTCTCGTTAGCCTAGCTATAGCAGCTGTATTCAGAAAACAAGTGAACGATTGCCATTCAAGCCGGCAATTTATGCCTGAATGCATGCATGATGCACGTGCATATCGATTTCAATGTTGTCTTTGTGCGAACTCTTTCCTTTCCACAAACAAAAACATTTCAAACCTCAATCTCAAACAATACTTTATTGGGCAATGCAGGCTATACGACCACGATTCATGGCTTCCTCAAACTTGACTTCCGGTGTATATTTAAAAAACATAGGTTCACATACTCCATTGATACTAAAATGTCATTTCCAATATTACGACGTTTCCTTTGCCTTTAAGTATATGTTTCACTTTCCTCTAGACATACTTCATTTGTCGTTGTCTCTTTTAATGGACAGCTATACTCAATCGACTTCTCATACCGGAACGTGTTAGCAGCATGAACTTTGTGAAAACCCAGTGTACGATACTCTGGTACAGTACTGACTATATAATACAAGATAAGCACAAGTAGCAGCCTGTAATACTCAAGTCTCAGTTTGACTTCACTTACACTACATGTCTACATAAGGACAACATTCGTAATGTATTTCTTGGATTTATTTGTTAATTTGTCATTTCTGTTGTGTTCACGGCTGAATTTCAAAATCTGATGCATCAGTGACAACACAACGTAGTGATGTCCGATGCAATACATATTTTGACTTGCACCAAAGGTATATCTTTGTTGACCACGTTAATTTACAATTGCGCCATAGATAAATGAATATATCTTCCCTTAAGTTTGTCATGTGGGATAGCGGCGTACAACGTTGCAAAATCTAATGTTTTGACAGAATTGACCTCGGTCCGTTTCTGAAATCGTAAACATCCAAGCAAATCATTTGCGTTTTTGAAAATCCACATGGTAGCATTTCCGCTTCTCTCTAATACTTTCTGTAAGTATTGAGAAAGTCCTTCCATGATAATATTAAGGGTTATGGATAACCTTTGAGACAGGGATTTGGTGATACATTTAAAAGCTTTTCAAGCAGTATAAATGAAATATGTTATGACGACCACAGAAGTAAAGAATGAAGTGGCCTATTTTTACCTGTACCGTGGGTTTCCTTTTCCTTTTTGTGTGAACCATATGTTCTCGATTAGTCTCACAGGTATCTATGGTGGGGCGGACTTTCTGCAAACATCTGTGACAATGGCTATTTCTCAGCAATTCATATGTCATAATAATTCTGTTATACTGAACTAGGCCCAGTGATCTCGGAGCTTCAGAATATTTTTACTGGCATGTTAAGTTCCAATCGATGCAGGGCGAATGTGACTCGTACAAGGAGGAAATCGCATTTTCAAAAATCTCCTAGTAATATTAGTATTCCTATTTCGGAATGAAAATATATGTTCACTCCTGCCAGGTGAATGCTATCACTTAAAGACGAGTCAGATTTCAGACATGTCCATGGGACAAAGTAAATCCTTCTAACCATACCAATCCATTACTTGACCATGTAGCTTCAGTGTCCTAATTTTTACAGCGTTGGATATTGGTGGCCAATGAGTCTTATGCTGGAAACGTAGATATGAGCAAACAGAAGCTCCCTTTCATTGAACACACGCTTTGATAATCACAGCTGGTGACCATGTAATCTCTGTTTGAACAATGCAGTTGACGACAGCCGGCTTGGTAGGGTTCATCTGGGCGAGCTCTTTCATTATGTATATACGAATACAAGGCTATGTAATCCTATATCTAAATCATCGTACACGTCAGTCAATTAGACTTGCTCTTTAGTAACCCATGTTGCCATAAGAAGAAACTTACGTGTTGTCATTTCCTTGTTTGATGCAAATGATCGCATCCCACTTGCGAAGATCGACGCTCCCAATGTCATGTACTATGTTATATGAAAGTCTAATGTGAATATATTCATATCAAATGTTGTGGCAATGTCCGCTTCAGTTCCCACTCTCCACACCCAAGCCTAGGACGTCCCAGTCAGTCTAACACCAACAGTTGAGCATCACCTCTCCCCCCATATGTTCAATCATGTGTCATGATACTTGAAATTACGACTTTTTTGTTTTGAAATCTAATATAAATGTGCCAATGTTTTAGTGTTAGTCAACTCAACATGATGCTCAGTTTAACATAGATACGCCAATCAGAGCCGATCAGGGCCTGTTGCACAAAGCGGTGTCAGAGGTTCGATTCGATTCGATTGTTTATTCAGTAAAGACTTGGGCTATATGCCCCTCGTCATCATTTTACACTGTATACATGATAGAATATGGTTATCCATTGAAATATACATATTTTTTACATTTACAAAAGGAGGCTGGACAAAACATTTCGGTACTTACATGCATAACTTTATGTATTTACATAATTTTGCAATACTATCTTCTGATGGGTTTGTTAATAATTCCAAAAATTTCAACATACTTGGTTTCTTCCAAAAATAAGGTTTAATCAGCTGTTTCCGATGTTTTGGGGCAAATTAAAACGAAATGGTATTCATCTTCAATAACATTTACATTATTTTCTCTACAGTAGATACAGTATCTTTTCTCCCGATCAATATTTCCATAACGCCCAGTTTCAAGTTTTAATTTATGACACGAAATTCGT